GAACAGCGCTATGTCCATGGCCATCATCAGGATGGTTCACTCCCTTGGTAGGTAAAAGAGCCTTTTTTTTTACACTTACAGAACATCCTGTCATTAAAGTTAACAAGACAAGAATAATATTGTTTGGATATCTCTATCCATAGGAGCCAAAAGCAGTCCCAAATCATATAACTCATAGCCCTCTGAAACCAATGGGGCTTTTTTTTTCCCCAAAAGGTCTGTGGAATCAGTGACAGAACAGTATAGCTAAGTGGTGCATGCATGAAAATGCTGCCAAAGGGTGTGCAATGACAATTCCATGTAGAAGTGTATGAGTAATATCAGCTTATGTAAAAAGCCTACAGAAATAAAGCAAAAATTGAAAAAGGAGAATAGGAGTAATTTTCTACATTTTTTAGATTGGTACAAGTAAAGAAATAAACAGTAAGTAGCAGACTGAAGTAGATGGCCTGTTGTGTCAGGAAAACCTGTGGCTATATAAAATAGAAAAAAAAAAAAGACACTAGTTTCACTTGACAGTTTTCTATTTTTTAGTAACCACTCCTCCTAGTTTTAACCAAACACTGTAACTTTTTTCTGGAAGAACAAAAGGTACCCTTTTATTTTGAAGAGAAATTTCATTTTCATAATTTTGCAACAATATAATATTGCTTTCATGAAATTATCAAGCATTTTCACAAAATATTAGCAGTTGAATAAATATCAAAATCACAGAGGACATACAGTTGACATAGTTTGTTACAACAAACCAAATTGTTCACTGCTTTTTTCTCATTAAATAATTTATTTTTTCTTCACAACTATGAGCATATCATCATTCTTACAAATGTGTTCCGAATTTCACTTTCCCTCATCCAGCTATTTGCGTTTAGGTAGTCCTTTAGGACCCAGTCTTCAATTTGAATCCACACATGGGAAGTCCAGCCTTGCATTGAGTCTGACTGAACTCGGTGTCAGTCAGTCATGAGGAATCTATGAAGTTTAGTCTGTTTTCTTGCTATTCATGTGTGTTTGTGTATTGCTACTAGATCTACGCAAAGGTAGGAACATTCATTTTCAGATTATTTTGTATCAGCAGCCTTTCATTACAACATGGTATTTTTCTAAACTGGACTTTCTGTTTAGAACCACATGCATAATCCCTGTATCTGCAAAACTGGCGTGCCTCATATTTTCACCAGTAAGCTCACAGAGAAGTAAATATTAATGCCCAAGATGAATTCTTCTGTAATTGTGGGTGATAATATCAGTGCAGAGACCTTAGACTTCACTACTTTATTTATTAAATACAGGACAGAAGAATTGCACCAGAGTGCTTACTCATGAAAAAATAGAAGCCTTTCAGATTTTTTTCCATTCCTCCTTTTTTGTAGTTACAGGACTCAGGGCATAGTACTAGCTTTTTAGCATGACTTGATAGTTAATGTGATCATATAATCATAGTGATAAATGAGGAAGTGAATTCTTAAAAAGAGGGATCTTCAGAGAGGACAATGTGCACAAAGCTCTTCAACTAGCAGATCCGCCTCTTCTTCTAATCATAGCTCTGTCACTTCCAGGGGACAAGAAAAAAGAGTTGTGCTAGTACCAAAACATTTCAAATTCCACTTGGAAGATTACAAATATGCAGCACAGATCATATTTATCCATACATATGCAAAATGTGTGGTTAATATACACCTTCACTTAATAAACTGGCAGATAATTGTTGTACCCTGCTAGGACGTAATTCTCTTGACCAAGTACCTATCTGACTGTACAGAAACATATTTCCAAGGATTAACTTCTATTTTCATTTGTGGTATAGCAGGTAGGATAGCTTGCAATAAAAAGCATTTTCTATTTTGATCCAAGGGCAAATACATTTATGGTCAAATCAGTATCCTTGATAAGCTATGTTGCGATTTACTTTGCCCTGAAACACAGTGTACCGCCGTCGCAGAATAACATTCCCAAAGCTGGAGCGAGGATCAGGCCAGACGAGTGAGAATTAGACCAACATTTAGCATGTAGTTTAGAATGTGCTAGGACATCCCTGACAGCTGAACACATAATCTAGGGCTTTGCTGCAGAACTGAGAGTTTCTGTATTTTAGGTAAACAGAGCTTTCCAGAAACAAGTGATCGCAATGAAAAGCATCAAAATTACATTCTTCTGACATAACAGAAAAATGGATTTTGCGAATATGAGATGTTAGTTACCCAGAAGTATTGGGAGTCTGCGGATCCTTATAGAGATAGAAGAGCATATACACTCTGTTCTTAGTGGGATTGCAAAGCCAGCAGCTCTTCAAAGTGTTTTTTCTCTCTGATAACAGATGTTGTCAGCTGTTTTTAGAGATCTGGGACATGGTGCAAGCCACATCTGTTTGGAAGACAGCAGCACAACTATAATTTTGAGCTCTTGTTGCCTCAAAACTACTCCTCACGTGGATTAATTAAATTAAAAGGCATACATCTTTCTCCAATGCTACAAGACGTGAAAGTTGAAGGGGGAATTCCCATTACCAAATTCAGCTTAAAAAGTTTGAGAATGATTGAAGACCTCAAGCAGCTGCAGACTCCTGCAGCATCTTCAAATGAGAGATACCAACAACCCATTGCTGATTGCCACAACTTCTGTGAACAGACACAGCAATATATCTATGAATGAACTTCTGTGTGATGTGTTTTTTAATGCCACAAGAACAGTTTCAGATCAGAGAGCTCATGCAAACGACATTTAGGACAGTGGCAGAATCTAGACAGCTGGAGATACTTTGGTGACTTTCTGGCTTGCAAATAAGTTTTCCTTCAAATTGATGCATTGATTATGAACATTGATTGTAGAGATGGATAGCACTGACTGCTTCTTACTCATTGCTTGGACTATTAAAAACATCAGGTTTGGGGAGAAGCTTTCCTTTCTTAAAGATGATGTAGCAGCTTTCATTTAGCAGAGCTTCTGGAGTTCTCTTTTTCCTTAAAATATGAATAATGGGCACAGTTCAGAACAGAGGGATTACTTTGCTTTCTCTGTAATGCTTCTATGAGTCCCCACCGTGCAAATGGACTAAACTTGAAGAATGCAGTGTAATGGCAGGCTATTGCACTGACTGGTATTTGAAGTTTCATGCAACCACTTCATATCTCAGTTTCTCCTTTCAAACCAGCATGAGTAGGCTTCATAGCAATAAATAGTATGCTATAAGGTTGATTGGAGACAATCTCACGATTCAAAATAATCATGGTTGTTTGGGATTCTCAGTTTATGAAATACTAAACAAATTATTCCACTTTTTTCCTACTGTTAAGGTAACTGGAAGCAATGGCAAGAGAAATTACAGACCATTAGCGCACTGAATAGCTTCTTTTCATTAAGCTAAAACCAGTCTCATCTCTTATAATTCTCATGAAGGCTTAAGCTCAAAGGTCCACATGGACATAACTGGTGGGACATACCCCATGCAGTTGGGGTAGCTAAGGCCACTTTCTGTAGCAGAAGGCATACAAGAAGTGATATAGCTTTTATAACTAACGATGAAACTTCTAAAAAGTTAGTTGTGTATTCACTACCATGCTAAATGGCCATATCTCCATTGGCCACAGTCTTCAGCATTGAGGCACATTTACATGCTGTCAGCAGTTTGCTGGCTGAAAGGGATGACAAAATAAAGCTTGATCATAGCATCACATGAAAAACTCTCAGTGTAGAAAAGCACCAGTTAACTGTTGCCTGGAAGCTCTTCTTCAAAAAAGAAAGACTATTCAGAAGGAACACAAGTCCACTCCAACTGCTTGCAACTGGTCAGCGCTGGTAGGTCATTAGAGCTAGTAAGGCTAGTAGAATAAACCTGGGTATGTTATTCCTCTTCATTGCTGCAAGGAGAATACACTGCTGTTACCAATGAATTACTTGCTATACATCCAACACTGAAATGAGTTTTACTAGGGTTAAAAAACTGGAATGATTCCAGACGTTGCCAAAACTGCTGATGCCAGATGTTGCCAAATCTTCTTGATTGTCCCTTTTTTCACTGAAAATTTTCTGTGAAAAATATTTTTTCTGTGGGTTGTCTGCAACCATAGGAGTGTCTTCGCCCTTTGTGTTTCACTAAGTCTACCATTTGATTACTTACCTCAAATCACATAGCTATTTTTCTTTTGTTCCTTCATGGAGTAACCTAAACTTTTTAAACAGAAAGAGGAATCTCTTCTGTGTTTGCAATTATCCTTTCTAATTACTAAATATATGTCCTATAAGACTGGAAAATAAAATCAAAATAAAAAAACCTATTGGTTTTGTACTGGTACTTCCAGTGTCTACAGTATCAGGACTATTAATTCTTAATTTTGCCTCTAACACTTCCCTTCTGCAATCATACTTGAAAATAGAAGCTCATATTCCCAAGTGCTCCTAGTTAGTGAAAAGAGAGTCATAAATATCAGCAAAGCAAATCAAGGAGTTTGACTTCCAAAAGTGTTCATGGATACTTCACTTTTGTATTCACCAGTAACTGTTAGGAAGAATTTTCACACAGTACAATTTAAAGTACAGTAAATAAAGAATAATTATATGAGATCATCATGATATGTAAATAACCACAAGAAAAAAAAAAAAAACACAACTGATGATGAGAGAGGAAAATACTGACCTGAACTTGGATTTTGAGATGGTTTGACTAGAAGAAAAGGAAAACACATTTTCAAGAATGTGGAAAAAATAATTAACACAAATTTGTTCTCTTTAGAATTTTGCAAATCAATACATTGGAATTAAATATACACAAAACCCAAGCTTTTAACAAAATGCATCATGAATGCTGAAATTCTATTGTCTGTTATTTATTTTCTGAAATACCATTCTTAAACTTTTACAAATTTTCTAAGTGAAAGAAAGGAAATCTCCTTTTAAACTAAGTAAATAAACTGCTCATGTAGAAGCTGCTTGGAAGTCATGAAAATCTCAGCAAATAAATAGTGAATATCATGGGATATAGAAATACTCCCATACACTCAGTTATTGCCTAAAAAATATTCTCCAGATCACTCACAATTTAACAGAAAACGTTTCTTTACATGTCATCAGAGACTTCTGTTCTTTTCTCATTATTTTGGACAATAATTCTATTTTATAAAAGCTTTCAGGAAAACACAACTCCATTGGAAGTTTAGTTATATTGGTTTATATCTTCTTAACTTGAGAATTTTAGGAGTGCTTTAATGCACAATTGGTCTAATATTAAACTGCAGAAAGGCAAAAAAAAACAACCCCAAGTGTCATACAAAGCTTGACTATCTGAAAGCAGTTTTGGCTAAATAAAACAATGGGGAAGAATGATTCTTTTAAATTTTGAGATGAAGAGGGTGGATACTTAAAAACAGTTTGTGTACTCACCATAAACTCCCACAGCACGCTGGGTTCTCTCCTTCTCCACTCACATTCTCTGTGTTCACTGATTCAGTTTCACTGGTGGGCATGCTTGCTGTTAGGAGACAGAAATTGCTTTAGATTGATAGCCAAGCAAAGCATTACACAGAATGTTATCTCCTGTTCTACTGCAAGAATGCCTCCACTTTTTGCAGGTCTAATGAGAGCTTGGAAGATCTGAGGAATAGCAGATGAAGTTAAGACACTTCATCAGTCCTCCTCTTATAACAAAAGAAACACACAGAACTCCAGACTGTATTGTAGCTTTTTTTGTTTCTTTTCAATGACTCAACATACTGTTGAAAATGCACTACAGAATACAGTGTCGAGGAGTTTTGCCACAAAGAACCCCCAGTAAAGAAATAAAAACCTGAGCTAGATATTGTGATCTTTCATTTTAAGAATTGTTCTGTTAACACTTTGGAGGTGCTTATCAGTTTAAGTGTTGTTAATATGCTCACTAATTCCAAGAAATGTCAACGTTCTTCTGAAAATAGAAATTGTCACACTCTGATGATACCGACCACTCTATGCTTTTACTTCCATTATAAATTATCAAAACAAGATGCCAGAAAGTAAGTGTGCCTGCAAATACTATATAAGCAGACAGGAAAGAGCACTGTGAGTGGCAGAATGGGTACTACAAAGGATGATGAGAATTCCTAATAAAAAGGGGATTATTACATTTGTTACACAGTGCATTACTGTACATATAGTGGATCATTACTGAACAGTTATCAACTGTAGCTAATGGTTTTTTTAGACAAGACTCATTTGCAGATTGGTCATCACCATTTATATTCAAATCAACTGAAACAGAGGGAGGACAACGTATGTCAAAAGGTGTTAGGAAACGATGAACAGCCAAAGTTCCCAGTACTTCTTAGAGGAGCACACTACTTCCATGTCTGCAAAGCAAGCATGACAGGAAAACCTCAGGAACAAGAAAAGTTCCTGAACTTTTGGTAAAGTTCAAGAAAATTAATGTCGCTGGTTTATACAGTAGAAATACCATATAAAGTAGGAAAAAATAAGAGAGGTGAAAGATGCACTGAAATTACTGCAGAACAGCAAGAACAAAAGAAAAACAGAGTATCTTAAAGGTATTCTGGGGTCTACCTTCTGCTGTTTTGATGGTTTGCTTGTTTGGTGTTTTTTGTTTGTTCGTTTTGTTGGAGAGGGTTTAAGCCAATGTCTGTAGACTGAGAGTACTGGAGGCAGAAGAGCTACAATGACTATTTCTGTTCGGGATGTCTCACTATTTTGGTAAAGGAGGCTTAAAGCAGGCTTAATTACACACATCTTAATATAACTGAGACTCGAGAATCAAGCTCTGAATTTTCTGATTTGTCTACAGAGCAGGTACAAAATGAGAACTGTTACCAACAGCTTCTCTGCACAGTCTCTGTGCCTCAGTTGCCTCAACACTGAAATAGAGATACATGGAAGCAGTAAATGGTAGTTTGGTTTCCGTGCCCATCAATTCCACACAAGTTGAGAGACTCACAGGTCTATGCAGGCTAGATGCTCAGCTACTGTGTGCAACAGCTGAGAATCTGTCCCCATAAATGTAAGTCACCATTACATGAAATGTTCAACACAGAGTTGGCATAACAAAGAAAGATCCAAAATGTCCATGCAGGTGTTTGAATAAACAAGGCACTTCAGGCAGTAAGCACAGCAAAACCTTCTTTCACACGGTTCTTCTGTTTTGATGATTCTTTTAAAATATTACTGTAATTGCTTTATATGTGAAAAATCCCTGCTTAGCACCTGCAAGTGCCTCAAATCTAATATCATGCTTCTTTTTATAAATCAGTTTTTAAAAATGAATATTGCTAGACTTGTGTGAACTTCACAGCTTACAGTCACGGAGTTCAAAAGGAATTTAATTCAAAAGTAAGGCAAACAATCTTTGATGATACCCAAATTCAAGTACTAAAATTTCAAAGGGTTTAAGAAAAAAAAAAAAAAAATCACAAAACTATTTCAGACAGTCTCAGATCTTCAGAACTAATAGTTTTTATTTTAAAATGCCAGGATCTTTTGCAATAAATGCAAGGAGTTTCCCTGTCTGGTAAAGAACTGAAACGGTTGTCTTGTGCTGGGTGACTTGCATGCTGTTAGGAAATACAACATTATAGCCACCCAATGATGAACATTTTAGCACTTGCGATGGGCAACTGCAAAATATGAATGCAGGAGTCTTGTTTCATACACTGCTATTAAGTGCTCCCATGAAAACAGAGCTAGGCCCACTTTTGCAAGTATTACATATGTGCAATATCTCTCACACTTTTGTTTCAAATTTATGAACCCTTCCCTCATCTAAAAGCAGTACTTAGAAACCAGCTTCTCATAAAGTGTCACTGTCACACAAATGCTATTTGTTTTAATACATGCCAAATAATTTTTAAAAGAGTAAGTGTAAAGTAATATAATTTTAATTCAAGTCTACCCAGACTTGATGTATTAACCCACAGAAAGAAATACCACCCCTTTTTGACTATGACTGCATGAAGAAAAACAAAGTACCAAAGAACAAAAAAAATCTTTGTCCCTACTGAAGCCAATGTCAGTTCTGCTAATTATTAAATACAACCAGAATGTTACTCTCTATTTGAGACAGGGCTATTGCTCTAGCTCTATTAGTGGCTTGCAGGTGCTGTGTTACAAAAACGAATGAGGAAAAAAAGAACCATAGACGGTTCACTTTACCTTAGAAATTCAGCTATCATTATAGTGTAATTTACATGCCAAAAGAAAAACTTGACAGAAGTACTGAGAAAGGCACCACGTGGAAGTCTAGCTCCAGCAATGCTAGCAAGTCATTAAATCTTTAGCCAGAAGAAAACAGCAACAGCACTGCATGACCACATCCACTCTCGCTAATGCAAGCAACCTGGCAAGTCTTGAAAAGACTGTTTCATGAGCATAGCTTTTTAGGGGCAGTACTCATCAGGCAAAGTACAGCACACAGACTGAACTTTTGAAAGGCTGTCTGATCTCAGTAAGGCCAGCTTTGAGATCTTTAAACTGGTACTCCAGTCGTCAAAGGAAGATACCAAATTTTCTCTATTCTTTATTCACTTTTTGCCCTTATTTTACTGGCATGCTTCTGGAAAGATTATCTAGATTTCTAGATAGTATCAGCTCTCTTCAATTATGGTAACTGGTTTCAAAAGAAAGAATGCTTGCATTAGGCAATATAAACAATCCATATAGCATGCAGCTTAGTATTTTCCTGAGTATACCGAAAATAGGTCAAATATATCAACTACTACATTTCATTTCTGCGGATAAGAAAATTAATCGTTTTTCTCATGTTATAATGTTCACTATTTACTCTGAACAGTTTTCAGATTTTAGAGCAGGGATTTCATACTCCATTCCAGGATGTAACATAACTAATGCATAGCTAAAAGCAAGTCAGTGTCCATCAGCATTGATATGTCCTAGCCAGCTGGAGTTGGAAGAAATAAATTCCATAATCCTGTGATATGACAATTTAGTGCCACTGTAGAATTCAGGCTACGTTACACCCTGAATTACTGAATTTTCATGGCCAGTGTTATTGTTGGAAATGTTTTCCTCTAGCAAATACATAATTAATATTTTAACCTGGTTCAACTTCAGATGTGCATTTTTGATCCATAGGCTGATCTCATTTCCACACTGATGCACCTTGAGTAGCTTTCTGGTTACATGTGCTGAAGGAAAAGAGCTGCAGAAGTGGAGTGATCTGCACAGCTAGTCAGATAATCAGTAATAGCTACTGGAGAGAAAATTACAATTATTTAAAAAGGTACTACACTGGCAAAATTTTACATCAATCTTGCAAAATGGTCATCTTCTGTCTGCTAGTAACATCCAAACAATTCCATGAGCTCCAAAATTCTCCTAGTTCCTTCTTAAATCAGCACGTGGACTTTTTTAATCCTTTACACCAAGTCTTTGAGGCAGTCAAACAGGAAAACAGAAAACAAACAAACAAATCCCCAAAGAGGCAACATTATCATTGCAAATTCATCTCAAATTTCCCTAAGTCTGCTGTATGCCCAGAAAACACATCATAAAGAAGTGGTACTATCTATTCTGACTGTGAAGCTCCTCAGGGTAAATTCAGTTTAAGGAGGGGCTGCCTGGAAGATGTTCTACATGATACTGTAGCGAGGTATCTGTTCTCCTGGTACAGACTTAATGTTGATGCTATCAACAATCATTCTTACAGGTTCTTTTTATAGGCAGCCCATGGAAACTCAATGTAAGGTTGAATGGCTGCATAGCAGTGGAAGGAGAGCGAAATAATCAGTCTTCATTACAGAAGCATCATTGAACCAACCACTTCCAGCCTGAAGGATGACACTATGAATGTTGGGAATGTTGTATACTCTACAGATGTTGTGCTTTTCATAGAAATAGAGGTAGAGGTAATACAAAGAAAAACACTTTGGGTGGGATTTCTAATCCAGTGGTAGTCTAAGTCTGAGCTACTCGGATCAGCATAATAGTCTCACAAATACAGAAATAGGCTTAGGCCACCAATTTGTACTTTGGAAAAATCCTGCTCATAAAAGGTATACCTGCCCTGCAAAACACAGATGAAACTAAGTCAGTGCACACATGCTTGAGAATGCTTTTGACTAGCAAGGTCAGGTACTAGTAGCAAGACAGCATTTGCAGTCAGTGGACGACAGCAAGTTTTCCGCTGGTTCCACGCTGCTTCATGACTGACATCAGAACCAGAACCTGCTACTTGAAAGGCTATGTTGAAACACGTATCCAAAGTAAAATTGCAACCACCGTCTTTTAGCAATTTTTACAGAAAAAATATTCCAGCCTGTGAAGCTGTGCAAGTTATCAGACAATACATGCAACAGTTACACAAATAATTTCAAGCAGACTCAGTATTTGTAGAAAATGAGTCCATCAGGTCCTAGCAATTTCTGACTTAATATTCTGCATTCTATAAAGCAACTGGATCAGATTCAGAGTCAGAATAGTGATTCTTAGGACAGCAAGGAAGTCAGTCGCTCCAATAACTTTGTTGTAGGTAGGATTAAAACTAGATCTCCTAATTACTGCAGCTGTGATTATGTCAAATCAATACATCTGCCAGTACTAAAGGAGTGCAGATTTGAAAATAACTATCATACTCTAAAAGCTCTGTCCATCTCCATTGTGGATGGGAAAGAAATTGAATAAAACACAAATGACAGAAACAAAACCATCAATAACAAGAGCAGATACAGTAAAACTTTGTTATGTTTTGTTAGATTCTACATTAAAAGTGTTATAAATAAATAGTAAATATTATCATCATGCTGTTCTAAGCCTACTATGATCCATTATAAAGTTTGTAAAATACTTTGATTAATTTCTTCATATTTGAATTTAAAATACATCTTTTGTCTGGTTTACCTGACTTTCGAAAAAGAAAACCTATGCTTCAACAAGAACAGTCACAGACAAAGCCACTTCAGTGGGAATCTAAATGGATTAGAGATTACACTTTAGGAAGGCAGAGCACTGCAGCACCAGTATATTTCAAACATGCACTTAAAACAGCAGAACTGCATGCATGAGTGTCTACATGCTAAAGACGTATATACCTCTGTTATAGAAAATGCATACAATATGTGCTTTCAAAAGCTAACACATCAAATGCAGTATTGGCACAAAAGAAAGTTCAACTGCAAATCAGAACATATTTTACCATGTTTATTGGAAGAATGGCCAAAGCAACTAAGTCTGCTTTTCTTCTTTTCTTCCATTAAGTCAGCCAATGTAACCCCTTCGCGTTAAGTACATGTAATCCCAGCATTTACACAGTAGATGGCAGCAATTGCAACGCAAAAAATAAAAATGTGTCCATATATACAACACAAGCAATGTCAGGCAAAGCAAATTTAAATTACCGGCAGCATAACTATTCAGAGCTAAATGCCTCACCTCTCACTGATTTTTGCATTTTGAGCTACATTCACAATGCTCTGAAGTCAATGGAAGTTTTTTCATTGACATCAGGGTAACTAGCTATTGGTTCGTAATAAAGACTTATGACTTTTACTAAAGGCATATTTACAATTCTAGTAGTTAAAAGGTATTCCATTATTCAACAGCACCGAATACCTGCCCGCAATCAGCAACAGAGATGTATGAATACAGGGGGTTCATATATAAATGACTTAATGACTTCTCTGGTTAGAAATTTTAAAATGCTGGGGTTGCAGGAACCTAAACTACATTTTTAAAGGATTATGTAAGAAGCTATTAATCACTGATTCAACTGCCTTTGAAATCTGTACCTTTTTCTGCCTTAGACAGAAATCTTCTGTATCCTAAACCCAGAGTTCTTCCACACCATTGAAGAGCATTATGATGATCTTCCATCACCATAAATCAGCAGTAATCTTGATCATCCAGAGGTTCAGGTATACAAAGTAGGGACATAGCTGCCTAGAAGCCTCAAATGATTATTCTGACTATCTGGGGACCCAGCCCTGCCTTATGCTTCAAAGATAGTTCTAGAAACACATCACCAGTACATTTGGACTAAATTTATTTCCTAAGCTTACTACTCAAGATTATTAACATAGTGATAACCAGCTAAATTTTACCCGACTCCCAAACAGGTAGCTCATTATCATAACGATGCTCTTAACGCATATGGAATAACTGGATAGACAGTTTGGCTGTCTCTCATCATACCTCCCCATGCAATGTGACATGCAGCACAGCATGTCTTGAATGCAAGGAGGTGGAGCAATTCAGCAACCCTTCCTCCTTTACACACTGTTGCAGTTGATATTAAAAATGAAATTCCAAGCCACATATTTAAGCACATGGGCACAAACCCAGCAAAGTGCTAGGAGATTGCCTATTCACTAGAAATTTCCACTCAAAATACATACACATGCCTGAAATTTAATTATTGGGATTTGTTTTAAAGTTCTTTTCATTACTTACTTTATCCTATTTTTACTCTGCAAGTCTCCTCCAACTCTTAACTTACCCTAAAATTATGTCTAAGTTAACAGTTTAGAGCCAAAAGTTCTCTCAAACTCAACAACTATGCAAACAAGTACTTTTGATTTATGAAAGACCTATCTGACCTAGAAGCTGTTTAAGGAATGCTGGAGCAAATGTTTCTTTTACAGCATACTAACAAACATCCAATTTGAACAGGATGCAAAAAGTTCCTAGGATTTCACCTGCAGGATTGAGAACGAAGTCCATCAGCACCATAGCTGACAGTATGGCTGTCCAATGCTCTGCGCAAATTTGGCATGGCCTACAATTCTGTACGGTAGTCTTGTGCAAACGGTATTTACTCCATAAAATGTGCAATCTTTTACTTCTCAGTCTTACGATTTTATACTGTTACTCAAGCCCACAGTTTACGTATTCCTTCCACACATTAGTAGCAATAACGAAGTACAGTGAACTCCTTGGCTTTTTTTCTCTGCTCTAGATAAAAACTCTGTGACAGATTTTCAGATAGACATAAATCATTCCTTTCTGGGTGACACTGGCATCAACATCAACCCACAAGTTGCCTTCCAGCCTCTCGTAAAATCATCATTTCCTTCCAGTCAGTAACTCAGATTCATACCCTGCTTTTATTGCAAACTGAAGCACTAATAAAATTCTGAAACTCAAAAATATAAAGATTTTTAAAAACTTAACTACATGCAACACTGAGATAATTTTAAAAACAGATACCTCAATATCAAACCACATAATTTTCACTATTTTACAATTTCTGAAAAGTACTATGGTTTAAAAGAACAGTTCACAATAAATGAGCAACACTAAAGAAAAAGAACAGTAATAATGTATTATTTCAATACAGAAAATAGCATTCTGAGTTGCCCTTGACAAACCACTTGTAGATGCATTTTCTTATATATACTTAATGGTATCTAAATGAACAAATACCATTACTTTTCGGAGTATCACATGAACAGTAAGGTGCTCTTTAGCAATAGTACATATATTGAAATTTGGACTTTAATCTTACGTTTAGTATTAAATTATAAACTACATCCTGAATCCGTGTTCTTATTTATGTATAGCACTAAAAGTTCTCATGAAAATTTTAACCACTACTGTGAAAACATGGCTAAGAGACTAAAATAACCTCTACTAAATTTTGACATTACAATACTGCTGTTAGTCAAAACTTCTGACATAGAGAAATCAAGTATAACTTTTACAAGTTGTTGCAGTATCATGAAACTAACTTGTTCCTTTACTTTAGGACTGAGGTCAGAAGTACTAGAGGGCCACTACAGGATAAATCACCTTTTCCATAATATACTGTACGCTACTGTTGAATAAATACATTCTAAGTAACTGATAATTATATTTCTTAGTGTTGAACAAAAATCCCACAAGATTCCATTAAATTCACACTCAGTTAATACATCTATTAAAAACATTTTGTATCGTTTTCTTGACTATCAGAAAGAAAGATCCAGAATGTCATTTCCCTACTTCAAAACGCAAAAAAATCCTCACGATTAGCAGAAGGTTATTTCTTGATGGTAGCTTTGGTCATATTGTTTAAGCTTTTTATATTATTATTATTTCTATTGCAAGCACCTACAGACAAACATATATTCTTCTTGACTAAGAATTTACAATGATACTTAGCAGCATGTGGCTTGCATGCACTAACTTTTTACAGAACACAAATAAAGCAAGTTTTTAAGTCTCAATAGTGATTGAGTACTGACAGTGATTTGTACATGGACATCTCAGAGCAGAATTTTGTTGTAAGATTCTGAATTACCTTCCATGACTAAGTATCAATATATTAACGGACATGATTGCTCTGCTAACAAACACTTCTGCAAACTGGAAATCAGAAAGTGACATCAGATAGGCTGCATTCACCCCAGTGTAACACCCTTAAAAGCAGTCAAACTGTCCCACACAGAAGTAGTACAGAGTAAATAACACATACTGTTCCGCTTGCCTTCTTCATCAACCTCTTCATCATTCTCAGGGTCAATGTCTTCTGCCTGTGTAATCCAGTCTAAATATCCCTTCAGATCTTCCTCAAGCTGCTGTTTTTCACGTAGCTTCTGAAAGTCCCCTCGGGCCTTTGCTTTTTCTCTTTCCTTGGAAAATTCTCTATCAAATTCAGATAAAGCAGAAAAAAATACTGCTTGTCAAACTCCTAGGCATTTTGACCTAGGTCTTGACATTGCAGAGTAACATACTGACATACAAAATGAACTGAATAAACTACATGGAAGACTGAGAGCTTCTTTGAAAACAAGACAGTGATGCAAAGAAGTCATGGCAAATTCCTATGACATTACATCAAAACTTTCAGAGCTTTTATGATTTAATTGAAAATCAAGCAGTATTCTTGACTCTTCCCATATGGGAAGACTTCTCCCCATTTAGTTATGTGCTCTTCTATACAGATTTTAAAATCAGTTTTATCTAACGGCTATGAAGAGAAATTGACTTGCAGTAAAGAAGTAATTTCAGAGAGTTGAGTATTAGTTTCAGTGAAAAGGAAAGTCTGGAAGCCAGTTCTAAAATCCTTCCTCTTCCAGCCACAGTTTATTGGCCATGTCCAAACATACTTATTTCAGTGCATGGTTCACAGAATTCCACTAATAAGCTCTTTTCTCCCTGTAAAAGAACCTAGGAATCCTGTTCTCACAGACCAGAAATGCATCCTTTTATATAAACTGAATCCTCTGTCTCATTGCCCCAGTCTCAAGACAATGTATTTGACTGTCTGTCTAGTTTAGTTTGTGATTTGTGTCAATCCCTAAATTATCATGGGATGACAATTAAAATAATTAAGCCATGTTCTTTGAGAAGGAGGTTGGATAAAATGGCCTACTGAAGTCTCTTCCAACCTGAATTACCCCATGAATCTATGATTCCCTTAACAATACATGACTCAAGACAATTATCAAGTAAATTCTTGCACTGTGACACTTAATACGCCAGCATTATTACAATATTTGGTGTGATACGCAGCTCCAAATGCATAACTCCCTTCACTAGAAGGATCAAACATTTTCCAATTTACCTGAGTATCAATAAGTATGATTAGGGTAGGCAAGTATCTTTTGAATTTGTATTGTAACTATGTACTGATTCAGTATTTAAAATTAAGCTTGTTCTGACCTGTTAATCTTACAATACAGCTGAAATTAAACCTAAAAAATGGCTATAGTAATTTCATTTACTATGAATTTCGCACCCTTTTATTTATTGTGAAATTTCACTTGAAAATATTCCCTAATTGATATCCTCTCAAGGAGAAATTTATTAAAGCACTCAATAATATCCTTTTTCAAGTGGAAAAATATTAGGAAATTAGTGTAAGACTTGCAGAATATTTTAACAAGGTGAACATAATTATCAATGTGATGTTGCCCTGCTAACAAAATATAGCAGAATAATAGAAAGTCTCATAATTTTTCAACATAGTATTTCAGTTTGGTGACAGACATTACTGATTTGGAATTGCAAGGATATAATCTCTTCAGGTTTGGGGTTTTTTTATTGTTTTATTTACAGTCTTCAAACACATCTTCTAAACACTAAATTTCTGCTTTGACATTAGTAAATTTAGGAGTTAAGTTCTTTTACATGAAACCATACAGATTTTTATTTTTTTTTAATGTTATGTTGTAGAAGCTAAAAAGCTTTCTGTTGCAAAAGCTGAGGCAGGCATTACACCTTTTACAGTTGAGGACTTAATTCAACAAAAATTCAGTTTGGCATGTGGAGATCATCCTGTTCCATCTGATGGCACTGTAATGAAGCTGAAGAATAGCAATGCTTGCTTTCCATTTGCTACCCTTCAACTAGCATCCAAGGATGAGGTCCTTCAAAAGGCCACCTCTTGACAAAAACACTTGAGAGAGCTCAACAGATCTCTCTGAGGGATAATTGCTTTTTTTGGAAAAAAAAAAAAACAAAACAAAACAAAAAAAAAACCAAAACAAAACCACAAAAACCCACAAACAAACCCAAAAGATTTCACTGTTTTGGCAGAAGATCTCACAAGCCTATAAGAAATTGTTTGGTTTATTCAATGCTAGGTTTCTAGGTTTAAGCTTCTCTCAAAGACAGTATCAAAGAGACCATCCTTTACATCTGATTGAGGCAACATACTCATGACTCTAATTCCATAGGCAGTATCTTTGAAAACACAGTTATCATGGTATAGTATGAAATCAGAAGCCTTGCTAGCTTTTACTAAGTATTTGCTTTTTGTTCAGTTAAGTCCTTCATGTGTTTTTCATTAGGGTGAAGGATATGTGATGTGTGTGGGTAAAGTAAAATGAAAGCTGCTGTTGTTATATGTGTGAGTGAAGTGAAAGAAATCTGAAAACAAAAGAGTTGGCAAGGCTGATACTTTCAACAGCACTTCACCCATGACTGAACCACATTTTAACTTTTACTTTACATTAAAATGGCTGCACACAGAGAATTAAACACAGTTTTTTATACACAGAGCTAACTGACCTTTCCCTTTAATACAGCACACAATTCAGACACTGTCTTGTTAAATGCTGCTGCAATTTATCAGTAGCAGGAGATGTAATGGTGCTTAATTTCCATGATATTTAAAAATTGTACTTGTATTTTTAAAACCTGACTGTAAGGAAGTATAACATCTGAGAAGACTGCATTTTCTTGAGCGGAAGCAGGAATCTGGCTCTATAGTACTTTCTTCTATCACAGTCACAATGAAGTGACATCCTTCAGACACACATATGTAAGTATTCCTTTTACTGAAATATCACGAATAAGAAAGTGGAATTAAATGGAATTGGAATGTAATGAGTTTCCTGTTTGCAGAACAAAAGTTTTTTTTTTTCCCAAGAAACAAAAAGTTATTTGAAAAAGATGATGGGAGTGAAATGAGGGAGAGACGCTGGGTCTTTAAAGCTTCTGACAAAGATATTTAGACAACAAGATATCTGAGTATTTAGAAAAAGATATGTAGACATTGGCTGATCTCCCGGAATAAGACAGCTGCTTGTGCAGTATTTCATGGCTATGGAGAGCATAAGCTGGGTCCAGGGCAGAAAGAAAAAGCTTTCTGCTATGCAGGCAGCATAGGTACTGACATGGTTAGACTAATGGCCCAAACTGGCCTCCCTGACTGGCATTAACCCAGTAGTCAGTCCAGAAGCCTATGAAGTTCACAGGCTTAGGAAGTGGCACATTAATTGTGGTAAGTGGATTTAAGCTCTGTAAATATTTAGTTTCATAAATGTCTTTGCTAAGAGCTAACTTCAAAATACGTATTCCATTCTGGTTTGATAAAATGCCCTGGATCTGGCATTTGAAAGTGTATATTTGGGGGTGGGGAGGGTGTTCACTGACAATTCTGACAAAAATTGTATTCAAAGGGCTGTTGTGACTATGCTAGCATTCAATAAGGGCCTCTCCACTAAAATGTGATTTAAATCAGTCTCCACCCAAGTTGCAAATTGAAAAATCCTGAGGAGCTACTCTAATTTGACACCAGCATATGTGAAATTAAAATCAGGCCTATTCCCTGTAAAATTTCAGTTTAAAAATAAAACAGATTTAAGTAGTTTTCATACATCATAGGACTCAATGAACATGTTTTTGTCCTAATTTCAACAACTAGAAAAAGCAAATCTTACTACTGTCTCATATTTTAAAGGATTAACAATGCTTCAAAATTAAGACTTTAGGCTAGCAGGGCTAGAAAGAGCTCTTTGTAAATCTCTACTTCTGAAGAATCTTATAAAGCAGACTTGCATAACACCACCTTGTATAATTGCCTGTTTGCCTTCAAAAATATCTTTTCTTCAGAACAGTCTATTGCTACCTAGATTGAGGCAATTCAGTTTTTTATTTCACTGCAAATGCAAATAAATCAGACAACTGAGCCCTAGCCAGCCTAATTTTCATCTAGTTAAACATGACTAAAAACTGCAGCATATGACAGTATCCTGTAAACTGAGTAAAGCTTTGAATTGAAGCCATAGTGTAAATAACTCAGTAAATTGCACCTGCAGCAGAAAGGAGACACCACTTGCAAAATAAAGCGTTATATGGAGACTCACCCATATAATCTACTTATTTCTAGCGATAACTAAGCTACTATATAAAATGCAAGTTCTCTGTTTAGGCACAACACCATCATCATCAATGGCTGTTGAGGCAGAAGCATATAAAATGCAGGTCTTGAGTTCATGCTTCAGTGGTCTGGGGCAATCATTTTCATGCTAGGTTCTTCTTTTTTCAACAGAGTGAAATAACTCCTGCTGGTATGCATTGGCTGGGGACAGCTTGATGCAACACGGTGGGGGTGGCAGCAGGGTGTAAGTACCGGGACTCAATTACCGCTCTCTGGTTCTCACACCTTAATTTGAGGCAGGGTTGTGTTATCCAAAAATCCCAAGATGACAATTTGCTTAAATGTGACTATCTGGTATACTCTCTCTTCTCTCTGTAATTCACGGACATAATAACTAAGGAGACACCTATACTGGCCTCCCATCAGCTGAAAGTTCTTCAGTGCTAAAGGCTAGACACTTTTCATAAGGGGGCTTGTGCAGCAACACAAGTGTTGCTGTGCCTCCCACGCATTGATGATAGGAAATAAACAGTTGCCTCCAACGTCTAAGCATAAACCAGGACACTAATTCTTCATTAGCCATATTACTGCCCTTTTGTGTCACTGCAAATGCAGCAAGAGAGAGAATTCATCTACTGCAGTATGCAATTTACTGCACACAGGGTCTGGTACATGGAAAGTGTTATGCTTATGCTATATGTAGAACTGTCACCCAGACATCCTAGACTCATTTATTCACAAAGAACAGACACATAATAACAAAAATGTACTCACAGGAGTACAGTGTTGGCCACCAGACTCACAGAAGAGGTTTCACACAGTGGTAACCATACCAACCAACAAATTAGTAGAATCAAATCAAAGAACTCAAGCTGCTTGAACTGTACAGATAAGCATGGACAACAGCTCACAGTTGGGTGTAATGTGTAACAGATGTAGAGAGACATTAAAAAAGGTTAAGTAATAGCACATCTTTAATTACTGGAGATTTGTATACATATTTGTTACTACCCCTTCTTTTAGAAATAATAAAAAC